CTCAATCGGAAACGAATCATCAATTCCTAGATGATAGCAAAAATAAAAATGAAATACCGTTGCAAATGACTATTTAAAATGGAAAAAGTGCGCAATAGAATAACTGTCGTCCACGCACCGACTCACACGCGCCAGCAACATTGCCTGCATGGCTTCATGGTGCCTGAGAAGTTTTTCCTTTAATGCTAATATATTAAAGTAAATATGAGGAAAGTAATTCTAAATCAGATGTCTGAACTTAACTTTTAATGAATAGTAATCCGCCTGAATCCGCTTCAAATTTTGAAAATTGCCCACAGACGTCAAATTCCAGTGTAAATCTGAATTTTTTGTTGCTTCATTAAAGAATATTTGAAGTTTTTTTGATAATAAAATGCTTATAACAGGATTCTAATGGCTGGTGAAGGCATAGTTAGAAATTGAATTTACATGAGATTATTTGTTTAGCTCCCCCGTCCGTAACGTATAATTTCCGGTTTCCGGGAACGCGTAAAAACTTTCACATTTGTCACGAGTGGACAGACCTAACGCTCTTTTTATTTCTGTGTTTCGTCACAAATTACGTAACTGCTGGCTAGAGCTTCAAGTTAAAATATTTGAAGGGAAAATACTGTCCAATGTACGATTGTGCTTTAATCTGAATAAATGAATCGGGAGGAATATGTAGATATTCTTGATAATATTGATATTTTTAGCCAGGACTTACAAACTAAAATCATAAATTTCGTTAACATTTGTCTCACGCGTTTATAGTTGGTGCCGAATGAAATGTTCCCTCTAAAGCGAAACGGACGACGAAAAAATTTCTGCCGAGCAACTCCAATTTTTTAATCCTAGTAAGAAACAATAGCCTGATATATTTGTTCGAGTCACTTAGGAAATAATATTTAACTGGTAAAAATATTATTCGTGAACTGAGGTGCGAAGAGAATGTGGTGAGTCACTGTTGTGAAAGCTGTGTATATGAGGATAACGAGAAGACGAATTTTGAAAACACGGACGAATACTGTATTGCTTTAGGCTTAAATATTTTTCATTGCAGTGAAATTAAATTGATTGAGGAAATAGTTGTGAAATAATATTGATAGTGTGACTTTATTTCATAGTTGTGAAATAAAATTGATTGAGGAGCGATCATAATGATTTGTGTTACACCGTTATTGTTTAAAGGAAAGATACAAAATTGGTGTCCACTTGCCCTGTGTGTAGCCGTAATACCCGCACTATTGTTGAATAAAATGCTATAGATTATACAGCACTAACTAGAAACAAATTAATTGACAGGGATGCAGAATAGTCAAATCATAATTCAAAAATGAAAGAATTTCATTTATTTCTAAATGGAAAAATAAACAAATAATAGAAAAATGCATAAATACATATAAATACAATAAAAAAAAAACACACGAGCAGCATTGCAAGGCAAAAATTCGGATGCTTATTTAACGTTACACTTTGACAAATTTTGTTGTCGCTTCCTCTTTCCTTATACGTTCTATCCTCAACTATAATTATTTACGGGAATGATAAAAGTTGGGATCTATTTATGCGATTTCAAATAGTAACATTTGAGAAAATACATTAGGTCTTTGATGATCAAGAGCTCTATAAGTTGATGAAAGAAAAATGAAATATGAAAATAGAAGTGGCAGAATCAACGAGTGCACAGTGCCAAACGCCTTTCTTAACGTGCCCCGATAACCAATTAGGCGGCTTGATCAAAAGCTGGTGTCACTCGATTGACTCAAGCGAGATGGGAACCTGTTTGACGATCCTCGATCTCTGTGTGGGAACCTGTTTGACGCATTAAGCGAGGCTTCATGGTGATTGATAGAAAGTTTAAGTGATGAAATTGACTGATTGAATTATGAGCGTATTTTAGGAAGAAGGTCAAATCAGTATTCAGAACCATTGGTCACCGCCAAACTCTTCAAAGCGGTTCAAAAAACAATCACTAGCTAGGGAACGAACAACAAGTGTGAACTGATCCATTTCTGATGAGAGGGAGGTTTAGATTAAAAGATTGAAGGTCTGATTGAGGTTGATTGAAGAGCACGTCAATCGATTGACAGAAGCGTTACTTTAGATTCGATTGATCAAAGTTAGTTCCCGGAATTTAATCTTACCGGCAATAGCTTTTCCTTTGCTTTACATCAGTCTCATATTAAGACTTAGCGCGCTTATTCGGCGTTCTTTTCAAGGAGTAATATTGATCGGCTTACTTGCGTAGATTTCTAAGCTATTCTTGAGACTTTTTTCTTTGCTAAGATGTTATTGAGATTTTTTCATGACTGAGACGTTCATGAGACTTTTTGCAAAATTGAACGAATAGCGGCCCCCACGTTTTCATTCTCGATGAATGAAAGCTACATCAAACGCAGTTTCCCGTCGAATCATTTATTACTCTGTGTTGCGTCGGTGAGCAGTGAAACGTAATCTTCTATGTCCGTTTCGATGAATTTGATGTCGATGTGTCTTTAGAATAACTCGTCGTCAATAGTTTATGCGTCCATTTTTGTAGCGACCAAAGTTGTTCTCGCGAGTATTTCATGCACGATGAAACAATAATATTGTCCTGACATGATTTTCATAGACTTAGCAGCAAGATTTGTGCAATTTACGTATATTCGTTGGAACAAGTTTTTCCTCGTTCTCGCTTAAGCAACAGGTTTTTTTTTTTTTGTTAAACATCTTGGCATATTTGGTAACATTTCCTCACAAATGCTGCACGGTTCACCATGTACAAACGACCAACTCTCACCATCATGACCTGTGATCCCTTAAGACGTGCCAAAAACCAGCCTATTTAGGTTATGGTGGCAAAAAGGTATGAGGGTATGATTTATGTATATATGAAAGGAAATATTTATAGATAGAAATCGAAGAAAAAAAAAATAAAATACGATTGTATGGACAAAACAACATTTCAAGATAATAATAGTGCCCAATAGAAAATAACCAACAGACTCCCAGAGACTCTCTGGACAGGGAAATCCTTCGGTCAGCCGAGTTGTGGGATGAATTCTTTGTGGGTTGGGATTCTTGTAGCGCTAGAAGAACCTTTTAGCATCAATTGATTTGTGGATATTTTGTTTGTTGATTTATAATATAATTTATAATTATGTACTTATCCTGCAAAAATACCTCAATAGTCAATGTAAAATTTAAAAATGTGTATCAAGTTCAATAGTACGCAGAAATTCAAGTTACAAAGCTCCCACACGTGTTCCCTCAGTATATGTAAATATTTTTATAATTACAGTGAGGTAAATATATATAGGTTACTTTGTTATCCGGTAACAGGCAGCAAGAAATAATGGGTTTAGATGTTATTGAGACTATTCTAAGTTCGATTAAAATAATAAGTGATAAAGGTTTTTCGAAACTTTGGAGTAATTACAACACTTTTCTTTAACTTCACTTCTTGTTTGCTTGTTTGTCTGTCTGCTACAAATCTTATAATCGATATTTGTCCAATCAATCTTAAATTTTCCACACTTGTGTAAAGTCGGAGGCAATGCATGAATCAATTGACAGAATAAATAATTTTGAAAATTTTAATTTTTTTTAATTTTAAAAATAAAAGTTCAAATTTAATTTTTGTAACATTTGAAAGTAAAATTAGAAATTTATTGTACATGTGTAACATCGGAGATATATGATTCTTTAGAAGTGTTGTCCTTAAATAGTCATTTTTAAACGCATATTATTTTTCCTGTAAATTTGCCAAAAATAGTCTAGCATTGTTATTTTCTGTCTATTACAAACTATTTCTCCCTATAGTCAGCATAAACATTTGAACTAAAAATTCACCGGTCTATCTATTTTGATTAAATTACGCACGCAATCGCATGCCTTAACGAATTGAGTAACAAGTGGTCTTTTATCACTCAAAGCAAATTATTTTATGTCTATATTCTAAAGTCATTTTTAACAAGACACGGCCAGCACAAATTTTCCTCATGACTCTGTCTTTTTAACTATCAACTCTCATGCTGGACCGTAGCCCAACTGACCTTGTGCAATACTTTCAAAACTAGCTAAGTAAACGTAAGTACTTACGCTCTATTTTCTTGCCTACGATTGGTGGATTTTGCTTGAAAGGCCGTCAATGATTGGCTGATGAACTTACGATCTCTTAACTGTTTTTAAAAGAGTGGCTTGAAAGGCCGTCAATGATTGGCTGATGAACTTACGATCTCTTAACTTTTTTTGAAAGTATAGGCCACTTGTGATGAGTTTAGGACTTCTTAGTCCACGGTCACGCTGATGCGCCGCCTTCAACTGCCTACAAGTGCTCTGTCATCGTGAGATGAAGGCCGACTCTCAAGCAGCCATGCAAGGCTAAATTCTTCCGTCCTTAAAAACGTGAAGAAACTCTTCAGCTCCAGTCAAAGAAGCCGTCACCTGCAGCCCTACGCGTCAGATATCAACCACTATGAAAAATATAACCCAGTACTCAATGCAGTGAGTGACAGAGAGCGCATTTTCTCAAAATCGACGAAAACGTGAAATCACGGACAGACGGACGGACATGACGAGCACAGTAGTGCCTTTTTCCATAAATGAGAAAATGCGCTAAAATGTACGACCGTGTCAAAATGTAAATGTAAGACCGTGACTCGTCAATCCCTAAGATCTTAAATCCAGTGTGTGTCAAAGGCTTCTAGATGTTGACTTAGTCATGATATTACCTAGACTTGAAGTAAACTTCAGTAGCTGCTGTATATTAAGGTGAATTTTTTTAATTGAAGGTAATTTCAAACGATACGTTGTCGATAATACTGAAATACGACTGCATTATGAATATCTTTGACTGATACATTTTGTCATCCAATTTAAAATTATGAACAGTTTCAATTAGTTTGCCCTTATCAATATGTTTCTACGATCGTGAGCGCAATTGAAGTGAACCAAACCTAAATTGGACATTTCAATAAAAAATAAAAACAAGCTAGCCGTGTATAACGATAAAATACAAAATTCACGGTGATTAATATGTATATAATATGTATATTTATATATATTTCATATTAAAAATTTTGCACTTGCATGTACATATGTCATGCACGAGGTACAACAAAACCCTCATTAAAGTTCCCGTCTGGGAACTGTAACGCGATTGCAGTAACGGTACAACTGCTATAAAACGTCTTTGAACGAAAAAATTAGGCTAAAATTTGTGCATAAGTTTGTAACGAATATACTTATAGAGGTGCACACTTATGAGTTGTCAAAAATGTCCCACACTGAACAGCTCTATCATTAGTGCATTAACATTTGATTACCATACAAATCAATAGAAATTGGTAGAGTAATATCGGAATCTTTTTAAATCAGCAAAATTTCGAAATTATTTTCTTTTTCCGGACGGATAGTTTTTCAATAAATGCATAAAGTACTAATTTAATGGCATGCAGTTAATGGTTTAAATAATCAGGGAACTTATGTCTGACACTCAAAATTATTACTCCTGACATGAAGAAAGTACTATATGGTTATCTATTCACAGGTGTTGGCTTTAGCGAACGTAAATTTTCTGCTTCTTTCTCTATGATATGTCGCATTTACCGAGTTAGCACAAACTGTCGAGTATTCGTGGCCTATCATGAACAGAAACCCTCAAGCCCCAACATGAGACGTGAAGACATGAGTACTATATTTTGATGACGCCGTGCTCTACCATCTCATCAAACATGCTAAGTAGTCGAGGCTTAAGAACTGGACTTGTGTTAACCATGTCCAGAATTTTTCGTTGCTGTTCTTCCATTTTCTCCGCCATGTTCTCTTCGTTTACGTCTGTAAAATCTGGTACGTCAGTAGACTCCATAACCACTATGGGCATTACCATCAGCGCCATCAGGAGTCCAAACATGTGTTTGTTGCGGTACTCTGCAACGAGCTCCTCAAATGTGAACTTCATGGGCTTGTCGGCGGCATGGAAGACTTCCTTGAAGGAGTCGTAGTAGGAGGTCAGATAAGAAGTCAGGCCTTTCTTCCTCGTTTCGCCGTTCAGGCTCGTGAAGAGGAAGTAGTTTAAATCGAGCGCAAGCGAAGCGTGGCGGTTGATCTGGAGGTCCAGGAGGCAAACGTCCTTAACGGCACCATCGTCAGAGTAGCTGTGAGGAACAGAGTATTATTCGAGTAAATATAACATATTAGTTAAAAGATCTCTTATGGATAAATTATTGTCGATTTTTACTTCCCTTAATAAAATCAGTAAAAGGTATAGAAATCCACCTTAGTTAGCTCATTCGCCAATCTGCAGCATCAAAAACTCCACATGCATGCTAGTATACTCATTGAAGAAGTATGCCTCACCTGAAGAGTAGGTTGTTGTTCCAACAGTCGCCGTGGTTGACTACACGGAACGATGGGTGACATTCGTTGCTCTCTTGCTTTAGTATTTCGTAGCTTTTCGGTGCCAATTCCTTCAACCACGCAGTCACTTTCTCGTATCCTTCGATTCGCTCCACAATTTTAGCTGCATTGGTGATGAACTGGACAAACATATTCCTAAATGTCACTAACTGATCTTCATGTTTAATGCTCGTGAAAAAATCTTCGATAAAATCGTATTTCTCAGTAAACTTTTCATTTCCCATACTATCTTCGAGAATGACGGAGCAGGCATGTAAACGAGCAAGCTCCTTGACGACCAAGATCACGTGGTCATCGTCAAGGCCGATGAATCGGTTGGCCATCTTGAACGAATGTTCCCTCATATCACCAAGCAAAATAATTTGTCTTGTGGGTTCAAATGAAGCTAAGTGGCAGTGAGCAAACTTAAACGGGGGCAAGCCAAAACAATCAATGATTTTGTTCAAGTCCGGAATCATTTTGAGATAGAAATTTCCTTCCTTAAAGAATGCAGTTTGTGCAAAGAACTCGAAAGATTCCACTCCCAGGCAATGGTTGAGTTTGGCGATGTAAGTAACTTTCTTGTCTTCCCCACCCAGCTGGTAATCTACCTCGACACTGGTGACGAAGCACGCATAGTTGTCTCCTTTGGTGCAGAAGTCTACAATGTTGAATGACTTGTACTTGGCGTCGGGGCCTTTATCTTTCAGAAGAGCAGCCCGGACCTTGTCTTCGGTGACGAGCTTGTGCGCCTTCTCGTTCGTGTTCAGCGGGCCCGCCGACATAATGCTGGTGGTAGAGTTGGACTCACAGAATCTGATTCTTTTGCGCCGTTGTTACCTGCGAACACATGGAGACCCTAATACTTTAAGAATGTCTCAGGGACCTACAAACTCGTCTACACTTATGTTTTCCAGTGGACAAAGAATGAGTGAAGGCACAATCGTCCGATACAGTCTATTCAGATGATACTAGAACCAAAGCTAGAGACATGAGCGATTTGGACACGATATCAATAGATTGAAAGTCATAAGTTAAACCTATTATTTATCTACCACACTTTCGGAGAGTATGCAGCTCAATCAAAAAAAGGCTATAGAATCACAAACCTTGAGTTGCTTTAACTTTTGGAAAATGAATAGACAGCAGTAACGTGATACGATAAGGGAAATCTTTTTTTTGAACGGCTTCCGTTTCGGAGATACGGCGACTAAGTTATGGCTTTTTAATTTGCAATGAAAGACAGACAAAACGACAGTTCTTTTATATGCTTCAGTAAAAACGAATTCTCATCATCACGACAAAAAAATATAATTTCCCGAGCACCCGAATTTAAATCTGACACGAAGCAACCAGTTATCAACATGATCTCATTGCGATGAAATGGAGAATCAATGTTTGTGTTCATCAATAAAAAATATAATCCAATATCTATGGAAATTTACTTCAAATCATGCGTTATCGATGAAAAATGCATCATCGCTCACGAGTTTGACCACTAATAATTAGGCTGGAATGTGACATGTCACTAATAATTATGCTGGAATGTGAGCATGACAGCAATGAACTTCAAGTTTGAGCAGCACACATCGGCCATAACCTTGTTCATTATGAATAGAATGGTTCATTATATAATATGAATAAAGGCTAAAATTAATGAAGGAGCAAAATGGGCAATATAAACAGAGAAGCAATGAGCAATAAACCATTTTAACAATGCACTTGACTTTTTTAATTTTTACATAATTAGTAATCAAGGATTTGCATTTTATGTTTAGTTAACATATTAGAAATTGTTTGAAAAAAAAATGTCAAATGGTTATTCACTTGACGGTAGCAATGATATTCAAGAATCCCTGCATTGCATCATCATAACATATGATAATATTATGATGCAAATTATTGGAATTCATGACCAATAATCAGTATTTTGACATTGCTCCTTATTAAAGACAATAGAAGTGTTATACATTCTGTCTTAATATTTAAAGTCCTTTTATCACAAAGCAATGTAGATGGAACACAAATGGCAGCTCCCCTCACAATGCGGGTGCCAGCGATAGACTAACTGTCAGCCCCGCAACACTGATCGATCCTTTTGTACGTTTGTACGTATTCCAGGATGTAGCAACAATCGGGCTGCAGGAAATCGCTATGCAGAGTCACACACACAAAAAAAACTGGTTCGATTGCGGGTTAAAATTTGATGGAAATTAGTTTTTTTCTGATATACAGCTTTGGTAGGGAACTCGACATTGATTTGATTGGTGTGAATTCCAGGAAGTAGCAACAATCGGGCTGCAGAAAATCGCTATGCAGAGACACATGAAAAAATCACGTTTGATGACAGGTTAAAATTTAATGGAAATGAGTTATTTTTCCTGATATAAAGCTTTGGTTAGGGACAACTCGACATTGATTTGGCAGGTGCTAATAACAACAGGGGATCACTTTGGCCGTGAAGGTCTTCATGACCTTATGTGCTTGGATATGATGTACAAATATAATATCTGGTATAAATGCAAAGTAATAATAAGTGTTCTGAAGGCATTATTTAAGTTATTACTTGAAATTAATCGAGTAATTTGGTGTGGGCATAACATGTTAAAATGCCAGCTGACAGCGCTTCAGCGATGCTACCAGTCAAGGACACCTCAGAAAACAACGTCCCTGGGACGAAGCAGCCCGCGCATGATAAACAATTAAGCATGGATAAAGTAAGGAATATATTCATGCTTGGTTTAAAAATTAGGTAAGGGAAAAATAGACACATGCACTCGCTTAGAAAATCAGCAAATATCAAAACAATGCTTGCTGAAACGAGCCGCACATGTGATAGATACACAAAGTTAGGCACTATTGAAAATAAAAAATGTGCAGCGAGTAAAAATGCACAATTGAGGAATATGCACACGAAAGTAGTGCTTTTTCAGGCTAGACGGGGAGTTATGAAAAACTCAACAGTAATTGGGCTAGTAAAACAAACTATGAAAGCATTCAATTATTATGTTGCCCTAATCCAGGTTGGCCCAGTGCCCCATATGTTGCCCTAATCCAGGGTGGCCCAGTGGTTAAAGTTCAGAGTATCAGGATTGGAGCAGAGAGGCGCGGGTTCGATCCCAGCTCTGTGCGTCAGTTTCTGGTCAGAATCGGCGAGGAGGCCGGGCGGTTAAGCACAGCAGAATTGTAGCAGTGAGTTGCGAGTTCTAGACCACAACAAGCTGTGAATGTTCTGCGATGTTAAGAATCGGCGACAGACCTACGGCCTAATAAACGCTGAAACCGCTATTATTATTATAATTATTATTATAATGAATTACTTACAAAGTCAGCCCTCATATAAAAACAAAATACTAAATACTGCTAAAAAAGGGTACGAAGAACTCAAGCGGCCTCACATAATAAAGCAATAAAAATTCGATTATCATAAGAGGAACGAACGATAATTGACAAGGAACACACAGAAAAAAGTTCGCTGCAACAATGAACGTGAAACAATAATAGATAAACGAATGATTAAAAGAAAAGACGGCGAAATTAGCATAGAAATAAAAACATGCATGTAACTGAGGAAACACGTAATAAAACTCTGTGCATTATTATAAGGGTAATGGAAGAAAAAATTTCTTCGGCTAATGCATGTATATACAAAGTTAAGAGCTTAATTATCTAATTATCTATTGGATTATTATTGATTGCTCTCGTGGAAGGTACCACATTTATCGAGAAAACTATTGGAGAATTGAAGAGTGTCTAGAACTCGTATATCGTTGACTCAAGCTCAAACATAACTTATTGTAGGTAAGTAAACAAATGTAGTTCTGTTCGACAAAGATTCTTGCAGAATATGTCAGAAATTCGGTTTGAGTTGTTGAAGATTTCGTCGTTATTTAATTCGACTAACACCGCTGTATTATTTTTCTCCTTGTTGAGCAAGTATGGACTCAATGTGTGACGCGGTCGCGCACAAGCATCGCATCTATGCTACCACAAACCGGAATCGGAGTCTTTAATATTAAAAAAAATATAACTCAGTACTCACTGCAGTGAGTGACAGAGAGCGCATTTTCTCGTCGACGAAAACGTGGTCACGGACGGACAGACGGACGGACATGACAAGCACAATAACGCCTTTTTCCATAAATGAGAAAATGCGCTAAAAATGGGATATTAAAAAATTAATATTTTAAATAAACGTCACTTACTTTAATAAAACGTCAATAACTAGTCTTGCTTGTAAAATGAAGTCCAATTAAAATCTCGACAGGCATTCCGATGTTTTTTTGACTTAGATGTCTAACTTGCGTTACACAACATGTTGACTTCTCGAAACATATATCTGCTTATGAGCATTCGAATGATCGTGAACAAAACTTTCATTAAGGTCCTTATAATAACACTTTTACTTGGCAGATTTTACTATAACACTCGTCTCTCTCGTGTGTTCAACATTGTTGGGCCCTAAAGTACTACACTCGTCTGTCATTATTAATTAATAATAACTGATCTTGGACTCACTTTTTTTGATCATGTAATTCTTGGTGCATTCATACCCAGTCAAAGTTTTCGTTCTAATTAGGGTTGCCCCAGTGGCAATAGAGTCCGCTTAGAGGTGAATCAGGCGCAGATTGGCCACGTACGGTGTTTGGCTGATATTTTGCAGCCTCTTTTGGAAATCAATTAACCGATGGGCCGAATTTGCGTAATATGACTAAAATGAGCAGCTTGTTAAGCTTCCTCATGATGCTCCTGATCAAAGGCTGATGAGGCTCCGCATGACGGGGCTGGTCAGAAGCTATACAGGGTAAATGCGCGAACCATGACATCTCTTAATTGCTCTACATATAAATGGTGTCGATGAATGTACACGCGTACGTTCGCTATGTGATACGACGGAACAAAAAGAGAGTCGACTCTAACGTGACGGTTAAAATGGTGAATTTAGTCTATGATGAACAAACCCATGCACCTACTGTTCAAGACGACTATTTTTAACCTGATACTTCTGCAAATTATAACCACTTCTGAGCACATAAGTTACATCAACGAATGTAAAAAATAAATTATTGCAGATGCTCGCTCGAGCAAATTAAGAAGTTTATAAATACGCGCGCCCCAAGATCGCCCAAGCTCGCTCGTTCTATGACCGGATTCTCTTCAGACGCTTATTTTGCTCGTACAACCAGAGTGTAAAGCGGACATAGAGCCGCTAATTTACACGTTGGGCGAGCTAAAGGAGCCTTTAATTCAGAAGCTAACCACCCCTAAAATTTCGATAGGGTATAGTCTAGTGAAGTTAGAACTCGATACCTCATCAATATTATCTCTCTTTATACTTGCTAAATGGATTGTAGTAGCTGCCAAGTCATGAGTTGAATAATTTAGAGTATATGGACTGTTGACCAAACCCGTGATGTATGTATACTTCATTTCAATTTTTGAATTGAAATTAAACACACCTTGTCTCCGAATACATTAAATTTAATTCTGAATTATAAGATTTATCCCTACATCTCTTCTTGATTAATGTACTGTTGACCTATAGTGTTGATGTATGCGAGAGTCGAGGCTTCATAATCGGACACAGTTTCTTGAAAACATGCGATTTTCTTCCTAATCAAAAAATGTAATTCATGTCGCTATTTATTCATGTCAGATGATTTTCATTTACATCGTAAATAAAAAATTTTTTCTCTCAACAAATGCGGTGCAGCTTGAGCAAGAAACATTATTGTCGGCAGCACATCGAGATGAACAAGTCTTCAAAAGTACAGCTATGACTTTATATAAAAATACATAAATAACATTTCTCAGCGTGATATAAACCCTAGGCCATCGGGTTGTGTTGAAATATCAGTTCAAGTCTTAAACAAGAAAAATTCCTGAGCCATCCTCACCGAACAACTAAACCTTGAAACAATGATAAACAGAACAAGACAAGACTAATATGAAATTCTTGACGGTCGTGCATGATGCGTTTGTGGAAAAATCATTCATTGTTGTTCAACTGTAGCGCTCACCACCAGAATCCGAAAACCTAGAATTCCCTAATTGCTTTAATCATGAACAAATTCGGCTGTAAATGAATGTATTCCTTCGCATGCCAGTAAAAATTTCATTATTGTTGTCTTTAGATGGTTAGAGCAGACAATCGTGAATTGTTAAACAACTTATCATGCAGACATGATCGCTCTCATTAGCAAAGAAACGTAACCTTACCCACAAAAATTATACCAAAACAAATTATAGACTGAACAATTTATTCACGAATACAATTATAGATTGGGTGCACTGATTGAATTTGAAATGACAGACAATTATTGAATTCATGCTTTTATAAGTTTAATCATACATGCAAAACTGAACTGGTAAATGAAAACATTAATCAGAACAATTCGTCAATCTGGTTCCGATAATTAACACATTAGTTTGAGACGCTAGTCGAAAACAGGTTAAAGACTACGATAAATCGAGTATAATCGTCCCCCATTCGCTTATCTTAAACTGTTGGTGGGAATAAGGTGATGAATGCCAGAGACATGTTTTGTCATGATAATGCATGATTATGAAAGATTTATGGTGCCATGTTCCACCATCTCATCAAACATGTCCAGCAGACGAGGCCGAAGAACTGGACTCGTGTCAACCATATCCAATATTTTTTGCTGTTGTTCCTCCATTTTTTCCTTCATGTTGTCTTCTCTGACGTCACTCATGTCGGTAACATCAGTTGACTCCATGACCACGATAGGGATCACCATCAGTCCCATCAGGAGTCCAAACAGGTTCTTGTTTCGGAACTCTTTGTTAAGCTCTTCCAGAGTGAACTTCATGGGCTTGTCGGCAGCACGGAAGACCTCTTTGAAGGAGTCGTAGTAGGAGGTCAGGTAGGAAGTCAGGCCTTTCTTCCTCGTGTCGCCGTTCAGGCTCGTGTAGAGGAAGTAGTTCAAATCCAAGGCAAGAGAAGCGTGCCGGTTGATTTGAAGGTCCAGAAGACAAACATCCGTTACCTTTCCATCGTCGTACCTGGAGAAGGTAATAATTATTTTTCACTGTCATTATCTGCTAAAATATGTCATGCCATATTGTTTTATTACATTGAGATACAAACATAATTGCTTACTTGAACAAGAGATTGTTGTTCCAACAATCGCCGTGGTTGACCACTCGGAACTTGGGGTCACATTCGGAAACTTCCTTTGAGAGAGCATCGTTGCATTTTGGAGCAATCTCCTTGAGCCAAGCTGCAACTTTTTCGTACCCTACAACACGCTCCGCAATTTTTGCGCCATTGTTTACGTATTGAATGAATAAATCGTCGAACATCGGTAATAAGCTTTTGATTCTTGCTCCCGTGAAAAAATCTTCGAGATAATCATGTTTCTCAAGAAACTTTTCGCAACCCAAATTATCTTCATGAATACTTGAGCTCGCGTGCAAACGAGCAAGTTCTTTCACGACCAAGATCACGTGGTCATCGTCAAGGCCTTTAAATCGGTCGGCCATCTTGAAAGAATCTTTCCTTTTGTCGCCGAGCAGCAGCACTTGACTTTTCGGTTCCAACGACGCAAAGTACGAAGATGCAAATTTAATCGGTGGTAGACCAATGTTGTTGAGCGTTTCATTCAAACTAGGCACCATTTTCTGGTAGAAATTTACTTCTTTTTCAAACAAAACCGTAGAAAATGGTTCAAAGGAGTCCATCGCTAGACAATGGTTGAGTTTGGCGATGTAAGTGACTTTCTTGTCTTCCCCACCCAGCTGGTAATCTACCTCGACACTGGTAACAAAACACGCATAGTTGTCTCCTTTGGTGCAGAAGTCTACAATGTTGAATGACTTGTACTTGGCGTCTGGGCCTTTATCTTTCAGAAGAGCAGCCCGGACCTTGTCTTCGGTGACGAGCTTGTGCGCCTTTGCGTTCGTGTTCAGCGGGCCCGCCGACATCGTCAAATTTATTTGGCGTCTTATTTGAGAAAATTTCTCGCAGCCTGAAAAGGTATGAATAAAATTTATCACACTATTGTTTCGTCACACGATAAGGAGACCGCATGAATAAAAACACCAAATAACAAGATATTACCAAAAATGAAGACATTTTGATGTACCAAAACGACTAATAAGAAGTCCTACTCGTACGCCGATCAAAATTGTAGTAAATAAATAATACTTTCAATATAGTGCTTGTAATTGGTTAATGAGGATGAAAACAAGTTTCAATGTCACAAAAATAAATTCAAATCAAATAAAAAATTTAAATGCCGAATAAAAATTTGTGCATTTTTTAGGCAGAGAAAATTATTTTGAAATCTGATATGTAAATTTTTACTATGAGAAGCGCAGTAAAACTATTTGGGTTACACACTGGTTAAAAGAGAAGACAGAAAGTGTCAAAATTATTTGCTATGATACTTTGAACACGAACAAGCGACAATATTTATTAATCAGGGTATATCAGCGACAGAAATAACGGCATTGTGCATTGACTAACTCCGCAATCGTATCGATATTTTACCAATCACATGAGTTTAAGATCGTCGCAATACTCATTTTTAAAGAAAAATTATTTGATCCCGGCGAGCATTTTTTGTAAACTTTTCCAATTTTTGCGAGCCATTTTAATTTCTAGATTTACACAATCTTGAGCAATGGTATCAAGATTTAGTCTATTAAGCGGCACGATAATTATTGAAATCCTATTGTACGTGTCTTACCTTTGCAAGCACAGACGACAGTATGGTCAGAACAACAATCTATTTGAAATTATCAGGGGCATCACTTTTGGTTTTATCTCAGTTATCTTGATAAGACTAATGGCAATCGATGAGATGCATCATTAATTAATTTTTGCCTGTGCCAGCTAGGGTACGGCGACTGCAATTTGTTGACGTTCAATATAACAAAGATTGCTTAGTGATTACCTGTCCTTGTTATTCAGTAATATACCCGAAATGGTATATCGTTCTCAGTATGCGTCGTTAATGATCTTATACACATGCATTTATACCTACATATATATTCTTCCAATACCCATCAATTAATGTAACCCATAGTGCAATGATGTTGAATTGATATCGGAATTGAGAAATATTTTTCAACACAAATTTTTTCAATTAAACGTTATGGAGATAATTATAAGTTCATTTCTATCAATACCGCATTTGAATTTATAAGTATTAGGTGGCAAAATTTTTTGTTGTAGAACCGGACATAAAATAGAGAGTTCAAGAATCTAAAGGTCGAAGGGAGCATTTATGTAAAATATTATCAAAGTACGAGTCCCTGAGGAGCTAAGGTGCCGATGTTTGCAACCTTGCGCGTGATGAGAAAAACTTCCGTAAAAGATAAACAGAAAAATATGGCGGGCGCTTATTTTCAGCGCATTTTCTCATTTGTGGAAAAAATGCATCCCTATTGTGCTCGTCATGTCCGTCTGTCTGTCCGTGACTTCACGTTTTCGTCGACGAGAAAATACGCTCTCTGTCACTCACTGCAGTGAGTACTGAGTTATAATTTTTTAAGCTTTTGACTTACTCTCGGCGAAGCCAGTGATGATTCCCAGACTGTGCATGTCATGATCTATTTTCTGGAGATCTCGGAGTGTCCAATAATGGTACGTATCAAATTTATCTCGCCATTTTGGAGGTAAATATTTAGTCGAGTCTCTAACTGCCAATAAATTGTAAGGCGCCAAACAAGCGAAAATATAACGTCAGTTTTTCTCTACCTTGGAATATCATCTGCAATGAAGAATGATATGTCGATGCTAAAATGCGTCACCTAGCAGAGATGCTCGTCAAAACTTGATATAGTCTGAATCAACGTTCAGTCTGAATCAACGTTCAGTCAGAATCAACGTTCAGTCTGAATCAACGTTCAGTCAGAATCAACGTTCAGTCTGAATCAAGGTTCAGTCAGAATCAACGTTTAGTCTGAATCCATAAATGGGTTCATAACATAAATGACATAAATGTTCCCTTCGACGATTAGATTTTTTAACCCTCTATTTTATGTCAGGTTCCGCACAACAAAGTTTTGCCACTTAAAACTCATAAATGAAATGCGATATTGATAGAAATCAACAATAATTTTCTCCATTATGTATAACCGAAAAAAATTGCTGTTGGGAAAAATTCCCGCCCAGACTTCTTTTAGCTTATTGTGAAGAAGTAGAGCGAGCACGTCTTAATTAATAAGACAGAGGGTCGGTTTTCATGACCATGTCTTATCTTATAGGGAACAGAGATGGAGACTCAAGTTTTCTAAGGTACTTTGTTTCTTGACACTTTAATATTTTAAGCAGTTCAAGAAGGTCCTTAGCTGTGAACGACTCTTGCTGAGTGTTTCTCTTTAAGGTGTGCATGCGTGTTTCACCTCGTTACGATGTTGTCAGGTCCGTCAAACTTCATGGCTGTTAATTAAGGAACTTCATCAATTCTCACGAACACTTCGGAAGCAATTAACTTTGATAGGCGGGCAGTATAGTGACTCCTAAACGCTACCTTAATTCATAAACTTTACCCTAAAGCGTCAACATGTTGAATGTAGGTTATGGTACTTTAAATGCGTCGACTTTAATACTATGCTCCCTTGCGGTTTCAATTGCCGTAAATTGCTGTTAATAAACTTCTCAATCGAGATCTTGCCATCAAACTGCCTTTCGTACATAACCGCATACTTGCACTTACTTTAATTTAAATAAGTTGACCTTTACCTGGAAATATTGTGATACTGAATATCTGAAATAATCACAGTAATGTACACCAATCCCATTGGTTTTAACTTTACGTATGTCCTTGTTCAGCATGTGATCATCAAACTCCTAGTCTCGGCCCCCGTGAAGTTGACCTAGATGCTAATTTATTTCCATGTGATTACCTCGTTGGAAGTATAGCCGCTTCTTGTACAGCAGCACTAATCAAATTGAATCTATTTGAACTACCTTCAATCCTCTCCACTGGCTTCAATCCTTCGTACATCATTAAGAAAGATATTCAAGAGAAGACTAACTCTCTGCGTAGAGAGAAATTCCCTATATTGCGTTTAAATATAGCTTCTCAATTCAGATACCAATTCAACGACATTTTGTCCTATCGGTTGAATTAATTCATAGGTATTTGAAGGATAGCTATAAATGAATGTGTACAAAATTATTAACGTCCCTTACTGAGAAAGATAGTCCATTTGAGTATATTAATGTAAAACATAGACAAGTAATCACGAAGCAATCTGTTATATTGAACGTAAACCTATTGTAGTCGCCGTACCCTGCCACAGGCCGAAATTAATGAGATGCTACTCGGTGAAAGCCGCTAGTATTTTCAAGAGAACCGCTATTAAACCAAAGTTATTACCCTTGATAATTTAAAATTAGATTGTTCTGACACTGTCGTCTGTTCTCGCAACGGCGAGTCTCGTACTATAGTATTTCAATAGTGCATCTTCATGGCTAAATCCTGACACCAGAGCCGTAGATTGTTTAAATCTGGAAATTTTAAAGTTTAAAAAATGGCTCGCGAAGGTCGAATCGTTTTACTCTTAAATGGGTGTAGAGACTATTTTAAACTCGTGTGATTGGTCATATATCGATACGATTACGGAGTTTGTAAATGCACTTGCGACAGAGCCGTTATTTCTGTTGTTGATTTACCCAGATTAATTATTGTCGCTAGTTTGTGTTCAAAGTATCATTGCGAATCATTTGACGATTTCGGTCTTTTTTTAAACCAGTGTTCGCAACCCCAATAGTTTTTCTGAGCTTGTCATAGTAAAAATTTTCACGTCTTGATTCCAAAATGGTTCTTTTTGCCTGAAGAATGCACGCATTTTTGTTCTACATTTAAGCGTTTTTGTTTGATACGAATCTATTTTTTACGACACTGAAACTAATTTTCACCCTCATTAACCAAATGCAAGCACTACATTGAAAGAATTGTCTATTTAGTAAAGTTTCGATCTGTTTACAGGTAAATTTTATTAGCAGTTTTAGTACATCAACAGTTCTTCATTTTCAGTAATATCTTGTTATTCGGTGCTGTTATTCTTCGTCTCGTTATCTCGAGACGAAATAGTGTGATACATTTTATTCGTACCTTTTCGGACTGCGAGAGATTAACTGGAGAAACAAGCCGCCGTATAGATTTAACAATGTTGTCGTGCCCTTTGAGTACGAAAGACAAGGCGCATAAACTTGTCACAGAAGCCAAGGTCCGGGCTGCCATTCTGAAAGATAAAGGCCCCGACGCAAAGTACAAATCCTTCAACGTAGTAGACTTCTGCAAAAAAGGAGACAATTATGGGTCCTTCGTCACCAGTGTCGAGGTGGAGTACCAGATAAGTGGGGTAGACAAGAAAGAAACTTACATCGCCAAACTCAACAATTGTCAGGGGATGGACTCCTCCGAACCATTTAATACGATTTTGTTCGAAAAAGAAGGAAATTTTTACCAGAAAATGGTGCCTAGTTTGAATGAAACGCTTTACAACATTGGATTACCACCGCTTAAATTTGTACCTTTGTACTTCGCGTCGTTGGAACCGAAAAGTCAGGTTCTGCTGCTCGCCGACATGAAGAAAGATTTCAAGATGCCGATCGATTTAAAGGTCTTGACGATGACCACGTTATCTTGGTCGTGAAAGAACTTGCTCGTTTGCACGCCAGCTCAAGTATTTATGAAGATGGTTTGGGTTCCGAAAAGTTTCTTGAGGAACATGATTATCTCGACGATTTTTTCACAGGCACAAAAATCAAAACCTGCCCACGGAATTTGGATGATTTATTCATTGGATACGTGAACAGTGGCACAAAAATTGCGGGTGGTGTTGATGGGTACGAAACCGTTGCTGCTTGGCTCAGAGAGCTTGCTTCAAGATGCAACGATGCTCTCTCAAAGGAAGTTTCTGAATGTGACCCCAGGTTTAGAGTGGTAAACCACGGCGATTGTTGGAACAACAA